TCAAAAACTTATCCCTGCTTATCCATAATAAGGCTATTCAATGCAATGCCCAAGGTTAAAATTTCTCAAATTCCATTTACTTTCCTTGTCTCCTTTGTAATATCCCAAATTTTTGGGAATATTTAAGTGTAAGTTAAGGACTTGATTGTGAGAAAAGATTGTTTTGGGTCCTAATGTGAATACTCTGAAAGCTGAGGGACTTAAAGAGGGAAAGATTTTGGATAAGGATGACTTCTTTTCTTTTTCTTTTTCTTTCTTTCTTTTCTTCCCAGCCTTGCCCGCTTCTGCTCTTTTTCTTCTTTCTTCCCGCTGCAGCCACTCGAAAGAAAGAAAAAGGGTACCCAGCCAGCCTTTGAGAAATTGGTGAGATAAGCTTGGTTTTCTCCTTCCTTTCTTGCTCTAGAACACACCTAGAACCCAGAAATCTTCCCCCCCCTGCTGGAAAAGCCGGATCTGCCTGCTCTGCTTTGTCCTTCCGCCGGCTACTCTTGATTGTGGGTGATTTCTGGGCATTTTTTTCGATTTTTGGGTAAACCCGTGAGCTTTCCCTGCAGCTTGCCGCCGGCCTCTTCCCCCCTGCAACTCCGGTTCTTGCTGGAAAATTCTGGTATGATGGCCACTTCTTTAAGCCCTAAATTAGCCATCTAATTGTTGCCTTGTGTGTGTCCAAATTGTGCCAGAAATGGGGAGGAATTCCGGTAGCATTTAGAAGCATTTTAAATGTGTTTAAGCTTGATTACGTAGGATTTAACTTGAATTGGCTGCTATGATGTTTTGTGTGAGAATCCCGTGTGTGGGTGTGGTTTTGCTGAGCCATTTTCTCCATTTTTCTATCTCGGGAGTTGGTAGCTTAAGTGGGTTTTGTTTAATTTAAGTGTAAATTGCTTGAGTTGATTGCTGTGATTTTTGGAGAGAAAATCCTGTGAGATTAGCTAGTGTTTTGGCCAATTTGTGTAAGTGGAGTTACTGTTCACGTCAGGTCACTGTTCACAGATACTGTTCACAGACACTGTTCACACCCCGAGGGCCAACATTTAATGGGAATTTAAATGATTAGTTTGTGATATGAGAACGAATTTGGAGATACCTAATAATGTGGAGATTTATGGAAATAGCATTATGATTAGGAATGATCCTAATGATGATTTCAGCTTGAATTTGTGATAGTTCGGTATTAATTCTTAGGTGTTTTGATTAGGTTCCCAATCGTTCTGTCAGTTAGTGCGTGAATTGAGTGCTCGGTTTTATGCGAGTGAGGTAAGTAAATTTATGGTAATCCCTGTACTGTTTTAAAAGCATGTTTTGATTTGTTTTTGAAGTGGTGGCGGGACTAAACCCGTTTTACACGAGCATGACTGATTTGAAGTGAAATGTTTTGTGCTTTTCATGAAATTGAGCATGCCTACTTGAAATTTAAGTGACTGTCCTGATGATCTGAAAGTGATTGTGAATTGTGATTTTCCTGTTAACTTTTGCTTGTTTTGTCTCCGATGTGGTCATGTTATTCGTGACCCTGCTAGTGGGGGAAGTTATAAACGCTAGCACATGTCGACATGTTAGTGAAAGAGCCGGTTCGTTCAACCCAGCTAGTGGGGGTTATACACCAGCAAATCATGGCCCT